AGCTACTTAGGACTAGCAAAATCATTTATTAGCTAGCTAGCTAGACCAAATATACAAATTATATATTTATATAGATTCAATATTATAAAGAGAAGATATAAAAGAACTGCTAAAAACTATGAAAATCAGCTTAAAACTCAATAAAAGGCCGACTAAACTAGCCGACGGCTAAAAAAGCTAAAGCTACTTCAACATTTCTCAATCATTATTAAAGCTTAATACTTTAAATTCGCTAAAAATTAAATTTTGCAAGCCTGATGCTGACATTAATAAAAAAATTCCCAAGCTATTCTCATATAAAACCAACTTCAAATCCAAACAAAAAGCAGTCAAAATAAACAACAACAATAAAAAAAACTCTATAGTTCAGCAACTAAATAATTATAAACAATTAACAAGACACACAAAAAAAACATGATCGGAAAAAAAACTTGTTTCTAGAGCAGCCGACGGCAAATGCAATTAAAACTAGCCGAGGCAAAAAAAATAGTTGAGCAAAAAGTTAACTTAGTTTAAAGTTAGCTTAATACTACAATAGCCCGCTAATTATGCTAATACTTTATTAATTTCTTAACGAGGCGCAAAAGAAAAAAAAGCGACGGCAAAATGAAATATTTAGTAAGCATGTGCATAACTAAACAAATTTAATAATATTATTTATGAAGCTGCGAAAAAAAAAAAACAAAAGCGAAATTTTTGTGCTGATTTTGCATATGAAGCGAAAGACAGCTGAACAGAGGCGGCAGCTGAAAAGTGGGCGTGAGCTTGAGTAAAGCACAAACTATATAAATAAACTACAGATATAATATACATATACAGCGATATATCTTGCTATTTCATTAAAAATAGATAGAGCTTAGTTAGTTTAATAAACTTAAACTTTAATTTTCTTTTTGCCTTGGCTCTGAAGCTTTGTGTGTTTTGTCGTTGAACGAGTTCACAAAAAAAAGCAAACAGCTGAAAAAAAATTGCAGTTGCAGCGACTTTGTTAACTTGTTTTAATTGCCAATTTACCAAACGTAGCGGAAATTGTGACGACGGCTTGTCTGCCACAGTCAAAATACGAGACAGATACAGTGAGAAAGAGAGAGAGAGAGAGGGAGAGGTGAAGGTAGAGGTAGAGAAAGGTAGAAAGAATCCAGAGCGCGCGCTCGCAACACTCAGCAAAGTCAGCAACATGGCTCGCAACATTGTTGCCGCAACATGCTGCCCGCTTTTCTTTTCTACTTTTCTGCTTTCCTCAATGCAGTTAAATAACGATACTTTCATTCAATTTGCGCGCATTCGTTTTAATTTTCAATTTACTCAATCCAATTTTCCCAGGTCCCATTTCGGTTGAGGATGAGGTCGATGTGGATGTCGTTGATTGCAGCGATGCTGAAGAGCCGCCAGCCAAGGCGCGTCGCTTGAATCATCATCACAATCATCATCACAGTCATCATCACCATCACAACAACAACAACAACAATAATAATAACAACAACAACAACAATAGTGTGTCACACAAGAGTCGCAACGAATCACAGCTAAACACCAGCTCCACATCAAGCCAAGGACGCTGCTCCACACCGCCGCAATCGCCCGGCACTGAGGACAGCGAGGAGCGCCTGACACCCGAACCGGTCCAAAAGACACCCAAAATCGTTGGCTCCTGCAACTGTGACGATTTGAAGCCGGTGCAATGCCACCTGGAGACCAAAGAGCTGTGGGATCGCTTTCACGAGCTGGGCACCGAAATGATTATCACCAAAACTGGCAGGTAAGAGCGAGACAGAGAGAGAAAGAAAGATATATTGCAAATAATGATTAGTTACAACAATCGGCTAAACAGTTAGCAGACAGTGTAAACAAGCTATACTTAAAGCCAAAGCAAATCAGTTAAACGAAAGAAAGTGCAAAAGTTGCTAGAGAAAAGGGCCAAAAAAAGTTGCAATGAGATATATGTTTAGGCTATAGCTGGATAGTGGGAGGTATTTTGGAAGGTATATAAATGCTTCTTTACTGCGAAGTTGCAGAGATTGATAATAATTTAATATGATATCTATACTATATATCACAAATATTTAAAAAGAACATTCAATACGAACTATCTGCATATTTTCTCTAATGAATTTCCAACTTGAGATCTTCCCCACTTACTTTTTTTACTTCCTTGCCCACTGCTTCAACATCTTCTACTCTGTCAATCACTAGCCTTCTATCAATCTAGTGCGAGCTCTTGGCATGTCAAATTTTTGCAATGTCAACACAAATTTCACGCATAAAAGCAATGGCAACACATTTGAGCCGTGTGCGGTCCGGTCCCCAGGTTACAATTGCAAAAGATTTTTTCGCTTTGCGATCTACCTGTGCAGCCACAGTTGAGCTATATTTTTTCGGTTTTTGTTTTTTGGGCGTTGCTCATGTCAGCAGGCGAGGAATCAAGGCTACAATGACCACGGGTTGTCCACACCTAGCTCCCACACAGCTGACCACACAGAGAGTGAACTAGTTAAGGGCCCAAGGGATAGATAGAGAGGGAGAGAGAGTGAGAGGGAACACACACACGCACCTAGCTCTATTTAATGATATTGTAAAAATCACACCTTAGAGCACACACACACACGCGGAGCAGACATCGAGACGACGTAGAAGAGACAATCAGGGCGGTCCCCTGGTTATGTCACACGCAGCCTTCGAGCGCATTAAAGCCACAGGATGTCAGCCCTAAAGAGTTTCCACCTATTGTTCGCACTTGTCACAGCAAATAGAAAGCAACCAGAATAATAATAATATTTAGTCGGGGTTATAAATTTTCCAGCTGAAATTACTTGTTTGTGACTTTAATTAATAACAAACCGAAAATCTTATGAAATTCCTTTCTAAATAAAAATCTCTTTTTTTTTCCTTTTCTTTTTTTCATCATTCTGCCTGCAGACGCATGTTCCCCACGGTGCGCGTCTCATTCTCTGGGCCATTGCGTCAGATCCAGCCAGCCGATCGCTATGCCGTGCTGCTGGATATAATACCGATGGACTCGAAACGCTATCGCTATGCATATCATCGGTCTGCTTGGCTGGTTGCCGGCAAAGCCGATCCAGCGCCGCCCGCCCGCCTCTACTCCCATCCGGATAGCCCCTTCAGCTGCGAGGCGCTGCGCAAACAAGTTATCTCCTTCGAGAAGGTCAAGCTGACTAATAACGAAATGGATAAGAACGGACAGGTGAGTTCAGATGCGAGATCAGACAGAGATAGACATATCTGAAGGGAGAGAGACAGCGAGGAGAGTGTGTGTGCCAAGATCTCTCTGTGTGAGATTGTGGGCGCGATAGACGCGTGTTAAATGATTGATAATTGTCTGAGGATCAGCAACGTGTGCTTAGCAACATGAAAAGGTTGCGCGTAGGAAGGGAAATATATATTTATAAATATGAAATACTACATTAGTTTACCGTAAATGCATAATATAGAAATCTAATCATATTATGATACTCCGATCTTTATGAAATTCATATTTATTCATATATTCATGTCCAATAGGCATTCACATTTGAAAGAAAATATATTCAAATAGAGTAAATAAAACGAAACTAAAATATATTTAAATATATATCAAAATCGATTCACACATTCTCAAAGACTCCTCAAAAATACTTCTCTAGAGACTGGACCACACATAAACCATATTTTATTTCATTTTACACACAACTAACATCCCATTCTCTTCCATCTTCTCTTCCCTCTGCCCGCTTAGATCGTGCTCAACTCGATGCATCGCTATCAGCCGCGCATTCATCTGGTGCGCCTCTCGCATGGCCAGAGCATACCTAGCAATCCCAAGGAGTTGCAGGATCTCGATCACAAGACCTATGTCTTCTCGGAGACCGTCTTTACGGCTGTGACGGCGTATCAGAATCAGCTGATAACCAAATTGAAAATCGACTCGAATCCATTTGCCAAAGGCTTCCGTGACTCGTCGCGTCTCACCGACTTCGATCGCGATCCGATGGAGGCACTGCTGCTGGAGCAGCAGCTGCGCTCGCCGCTGCGCCTCTTTCCCGATCCGCTGATGCAACAGTTTGCCGCGCAACAGGGCGCCGCCGATCCCGCTTCGATGGCGCTCTTCGAGAAGGCACGCCAGCATCTGCAAATGTTCGGCGGCAATTCGCCGTATGCCCAGCTCATGATGCCGCAAATGTATCAGGCAGCAGCGGCGGCACCACCGCCGCCCGGCCTCGGCGCCTTTCACATGTTCCAGCAGCAATGGCCGCAGCTGACGGCCGGATTTTTGGCCAGCGCCAATCAGCAGGCCGCTGCCGCCCAGGCCGCCGCTCAGGCGCAGGCGCAAGCGCAGGCAGCGGCCGCTGCGGCCATGGCCGCCAATCGCACACCCCCGCCGCCGCCCACAGCGTCCACGCCCTCGTCGACATCGTCGGGCTCGCCCTCGCCCGATATGCGACCGCGTCAATATCAGCGCTTCAGTCCGTATCAGTTGCCCGCGCAGGCTCAACAACAACAGCAACAACAACAGCAGCAGCAGCAGCCGCCGCCCACAGCGGGCTCGCCCGCCTCGCGCAGCCCCGCCCACTAAGCACTGGCAGAGGCTGCCCCAAATAAAACAGTATTAATCCAAAAATGAAATTCAGAAATGAAAATGAACAGATGAAAAAAAAAAACTCAACTAACTAAATGTTGTAAATTATTTGTTATCCATTAATTCCCTCGCGCTCTTACTCTCGCTTCCCCTCTTCTTCTCTTTCTCTCCTGCTCTCTTGCATTTTTGTGTTGTAAAAAATTTCAACATTTTCGACCCGTGTACAGTTAGAAAATTTTTGTATACATTTAGCTTAAAACATATTGTAAAAAGTTTTTAAGTGTTGTTCGAAAACTCATCTCAGTGTAAAGTTTAAACAAAATTCGAAAAAGAAAAATCAATTAAAAAAAAAAAATAAATTAAAGCTTCATCTATGTAAACAATAAATGTTAGTTATGCTATAGCATAAAATTATATATATAAATATGAATAATAATATTAATATATGGCTAGTATTAACACATAAATTGATAGACGCTTCAGTTAATTTTATTTATATGAAAATTTCTTATTTAAGTTTAAAGTAAAAATTTGGCAAACAATAAACAATTATTAAATCAAAATAAAAAAATAAAAATAAATGAAAATATAAATAAAAGTAAAAATAAACAAATTAAAATATAAAGATATATTTCTTCAGTGTGAAAAAAACATGAACAAAATATTTAAAGAAAATTTATTAAATGAAAAAAAAAAAAAAAAACAATAAAACTAAATATGTGAAAAACAAAATAAAAATGGTTGTTTATTAAAATAAATTCTTTTTTAGCAATATTTTAAAATTTTACAGTGAAGCTTTCAGTGGAAGATCCTAAAGCAAGGGTAGCAGAAATTTCAAAAAAATTCATGAGAGTTTTTTTATGCAAAAAATCGATGAAAAAGTTTTAAAGAAAATACAAGAAAATTTAAAAAGTTATTTTAAATGAAATTACAAAATATATTTCTTATTTGGTTTTGTTCCATTGCATTTAATAAATATGTTATATATATGCTTTCACTATTCATTAAATCAATATCAAAGCGAAATATTTGAATTTTACGTAAAATTAACTACATAACATTTACTCACTGTACACAAAGGAATTTCTAGTATTTTTCGGCGTTTTCAAGAATATGCATAAATTACATTTAAAGCAGAGCAGAGCTAAAACACTTGAATTTAACTATCCAAATATCCTGTGCAGTCAAAGTGGGAATTTCTCACACGTCTGCACTTGTTTCGTCACACTGTGCACTCAGCATATCCTGCGTGCAGAGGACTCTGCCTTGCTCCAACAATATACATGCATATAGGGCAAACTGGGACCGAGGCAGACGCACTGAAATGGGCTTAAATAGAAGTCGAGGCATGGGCATACGCATAGGCGTAATTCCTTAGTTGGCAGTGAGGCATGCGGCAGAGCAAATTGAAACCAGGCAGCAAAAGAGAAAGAGATGAAACGTGGAAAGAGAGACAAAGAGACAGGGAAATGGAGTGAGGCAGAACAGCAGCATGGGGAATAGAAATGTTTAACGAATGCATTTTCATGGTCACTCAAAGGGAAATTCTCTAACTCGCTGGGCTCGCTCGATGCTCGTTGCTCGTTGTGGAAAGGCAGAAACCAGAGAATTCGTTTGACACGCTCAACAGTTCGATGAATGATGCGTCTGTCTATTGGGCTCTTGTCAGACCCAAAGACTTGTGAATTAAGCGTGGCCAAAGAGCTATTGAAAGTTCAGTCAATAAATCTTGGGCACACGAAATATTATTTTGATAACTATGGAGTATATAAGGAAAACAAAGAGAGAAATGCTCTGCAACCCTCCGAAAGCCATCCAACAATTATAAAGAAATTAACTTTTAATGTGCGTTAGGATAAAGATCTTGGCATAATTATCTGAGGAACTTATTGAAAAAGGGCCAAATTATATATATATATATACAGTAGGTTGTAATTACGTAAAAGGTGTTATCGACATTTGTCTATCTGGCACCTAGCGTGAACCACTAAATATACACAGCTGCTTTATCAGCTAAAGTCAATCTACTCACCAAAGTTAATTACAAACTAATCACAAGAAATTGCAGTAAGAGAGAAACAAATAAAACATTAGGCTATCTGGCAGTGAGAGATCTGAGCAGTGGCCAGCCATATAATCGGAGGGAACATAATGCTATATGCACATGTCAAAATGTCATAGCTAATTTATAAGCAAGGCCGCCAGAGATCCATGTACTTCCACTGTCAAAACAAACACGAAATTCATGGGGGGCAGGCGGCGAGGCAGTGGAGTATGTGAAGAACTTTGGCTCCCTTTGGCATAAATTGTGTCTGCGCTCGCTTTGGCGTTCCTTGTGGCGTTTCATTTTAATTTGAATGTAAATGAATGCTGCGCGACATTGGGCGCCCAGCCGCATGGGAGCAGCTGTGAATGTCTCTGAAAGTTCTTTCAGTCTCTTTCAGTCCACCCCGACGACGTCGCGACGTCTCTACCAACTGCTCCTCCCCCTACTCACGCCCCATTGTACACACCCACAAATCAGCGTTGGCAGGCGACACACAAGACAGACAGACAGACAGACAGAGAGACCGTGCGACAGGGTGTCTGTCGAGTATGAGGGGGAGTAGGGCGGATCGAGTTCGGGGGGCCTTGCAGGTCTTGAGGTTAAGTGTCAGCAGGCGCTACAAAACAGTGACAAAATATTTAATTTTTGGGGCGTTTGTAAATATTTGAGCCACTTAATTGGCGGGGCTGGCTACAATGTTGTTGTTTGTCCCCCCTCCCCATTGATTTATGAGCCCGAATGGTAAACGGTTGAGGGCGTAGGGCAATGGAGCTATATGCTGAGGCTAACTCAACTCACTTTCATTTCGGTATATTGAAAAATAAAGTGGAGTTGTTGTATTGAAGCCTGTTTGAAAATAAAATAAACCTAAAATTTACTACCAAATAATTGAAAATAAAAAAATTAAGTTAAGTTTGTGAGGAATGCAGAATACATATTTTCTCATAATTGATTAATTTTTAGAAGGAACCTCTTAAAATAAATTAATTTTTTTTTATTTAAAATAATTTTATTATAATAAATTTAAACTATATTTACATTTTTATTTATATTTTTTATATGTTGATGATACAATTATTTTTATTTGCATATTTTATTTGATTTAGTTAAATTTTTGTTCATAATCCATTCAGCATTACTTTATTACTTTATTATTTAAATAAAAAATTTTATTTAAATTGTTTTTACATATTTTTTTTAATTTTGTATTCATATAAATTAAATTTAATTTATTGATATTTTTGTTTGCAATATATTAAGTTAAATTGTAATTATTATTAAATGACATTATTGCGAATTTATACATACGAATTTAACAACTTTTATATTACTTTTCTTATACATAAACGCTGCTTTAATATATCTATATATATTTTCAATTATTTTTATATTTAATTATTGCACACTTGAGCTCCCCTGGCTTCATTCTTTCTTCTTTGTGGCCCGCGCCTCTTCTTTGTTTTCTTTTTGCGCTGTTTGCCTTTATCACACTTTGTGCAGCTGTGGGGATGACATTTACAAACTGAACTGGGCAATCAACGCGCCGCTGCCACGCCCCAATCATTAACCCGAACATGACCAGGCAAACACTGTTTTGGGCCCTAACGGTAGATGGCCAGCACGGCTACAACAACACTTGCAACATTATGCGGCACGTGCTGCGGCAATTGCCACGTGAGTGTGCCGGAGTCCATTGGGCAATGAGCTAGTTGAAGAGCCTCGACGGCTCCATAACCTGCGCCATGATGACGCTGCCAACGCTTTTGCCACGCTGGCGTCTGTCAAGTGAAAATTTGTAGAAATTAACGTTTTTTTCTCCCATTCCCATACACATTCTCATTCTTTGTATTTGTAATCAAATGAAATTGCAGAAAAATCAATAAATTTTAAAAGACAAACTCTGTCATGCTATATCGAACTAGAGATCTATAAGGCTTTCTTTCCCATATACATATGTATATCTATTGTTTTAGGGCCTTTTAATGACTTTATAAACACACACATCAACGAAACATGTCAAAGACAGAAAAAAAAACGTTCCATGGCACAACCACAACTGTCAAGCTACTTCAACAGAGACAGATATACATATATAGAGAGAGACAGACAAAGGGGGAGAGGGAAGTAGGTAGGAAAATCAATTAGATAGCACTGGACGCGGGCCAGTTTCGTTTGATGGAAAAACTCATATATCATTAACAATTTTCATGTCATATTGCATTTACGTGTGACGTCTTATAAGCCCCTTTGTCCCCCTCTCCCCCCTCCCACCATGTTGAAATTCCCAATCGAATCGAGACAGACAGACAACCGTGTGCACATTCATCAAATATTCAAAATATAATATTTTACATGAAATCAATTTTCTAGAAGGCAAGCACAAAATTAGGCAAAATTGCCCGACCACGCCCCCTCTCGACAACTGGCGCTTCTATATAATTACAGTTGACCGGACAAAAGACGTTGGAAAATTGATTTTCTTTTGTGAAAGGCGTTTTATTGGCTTCCATCTATGGGGCGTGTGAGGCCGTTGAGGTTAGCGTTGGCCAAAAGCAAAGCAACGGCACTTACAAAGGGTTTACTTTCAGTTTACGGAAGAGACGAACGGCAGAAAAAAAAAACAACAACATAAGGCTGCAAAGCAAGTAAATCCCATTCTGTCCCTTTGCTGAGCACTTAATGCTGCTCTAAATGAGAAACTTTTTGGTCCAAATCCTTGTGGTCAACGTCTGACGAAAATAACACTCGTTTAAGCGACTAAATGTGTTGCCTTGCGTTTGTGTGTGTGTGAGAATACCCTGTTGAAACGGTGTGAAGGAGTTTGAGAGACTCAATAAATGTATGAAAATTGGGACTTATAGGCTATAAGAGACATTCTGAAGGCTAATGAGACACTTTCTACTCTCTGTTAAGATTGATCCTTAATTGATCTAGTGCAGAGGTACTTTAGGTTTACAAGTTTACTTTAATATAGATATAAGAAAGAATTCAGAAG